GTGGGGGCTGAGGGTGCTCCTGGGGGCGTGAGCTCCAATGTCCGGCCGCGTCCCGGGTGTTCTGCGTGACCGTGGGTAAGTCGCGGATGATCCGTCTGCGCCCCCCCCGCCCTGGATGCTTCCGTGCAACTGCCCGGCCGGGTTTAACGTTTGTTAACGGTAGGTACTAACCTCTAGGAAGTGCTCAGGGAAACTGAGGAGAGGTGTCGTAACTAGGCTGCCTCTCGTCAGGAAGAAAACTAAAATGACTTTTTCTCCAGCAGAAAAGCAATCGGAAGTGCTCCAGGTGCAATTTTAATCTACAACTCCTTTCTGACATCGTGCTTGTACGGTCAAATTAATCAGTGGTAAGAACGTGAGGAGTAGAGAGTAAAAATGCCAGCTTTATTTACATAATGACACTGCTTAGTTATGTTCAAATACATTTCTGAAAAATAACCTTTGTGCATGAAGCCCATAATTAAAGTTGCACGGACAAGATAATGAACAACTAACGTGCAGTTTGTTGATGCAAAAGATGTTCCTAGAAAATGAGTTAAAATACATCATTAACTTTCATCTTTCCGTGATTGCAAGGAGTGTCCTTGTACTTCGATCACTCACAAGGCAGGATTTTTTCTTTCTGATTGCAACAAAATGTTGGCAGTAAGAGAATTTTTTCTTAATTCAGTTATGATGGATGCTCCTCTGCATTTGTTAAAAGTGGACTCTGAAGAGCGGGCAAGTGCTTTTAGCGGAGGAAGAAGTAAAAAAGACTATTCAAAATACTCCCGAAGCGACAGATAAAGTGATCTACAGCGTGCTGTTTGGTTGGTGCAGATACACCCAATTCTTAAAGGCTTGAGTTTTGAAAAATAATGAGACTGTGGTCATTCCAAGACAATCCTAGTTGTCTTTGGGGGCGTTGTGTTTAGGACTGATGAATGTGAAAATATATACATCATGTTGACTTACCCAGTATAACTTCATCACCTTTTGTAGCTAGCAAAAACCAGTTTGGATGAAACATTTGATCAGAACGGAGACCTTGAAGGAAAGACCATGACTTTGTTTGGCTTTCCTCACTGAAGAAATATTTTTTTTTGCTTCAGTTTTTAATATTCCCTTTGAAATGCTGAACTTCAATGTTTGTGTTATGATGTTTGTGAAATGTTACAGTGTGGTTGATAAGCTACTTACATGGAAGTAATATAAATTGAAACTTCACTAGAAATATCCAAATAACTTACAAAAGCAATCGCTTTACTGTACCATTAGAGTGAAGGTTTAGTTCTATAGATGGATTTTGAAATAAACCCTGTTGGAATAGAGACCAGTCTACCTTATTTTGTCTTAGACATGTCATGGCAGTAACAAATTTAAGCAAAACAGCATAACGTACATCAGTATGCTATAAAAATATACAGGAGCCTCAAAATCATGACAAATTTAAGAAATATTGATGCAAATCATGAAATGCAGAGAGAGAGAAAGTCAGGTCATGTTGTTAATCTGTCTGGAAGTGCAAAATTGTTCCCTTGTGTCCATTTATTGATCTATTCTGTTCAAATAGTATTTTCTGTTAGCATAACAATGAGTCTTTTTAATGAATCATTCAGAATGTACCTGCTTCCTTTGATTTCTAAAACCTGGGATGAAAATCTGTGAGGAATCATACGTGCAGTTTTCACATCAGCTAAAGATCACTCTAGTGGGAGACTGTATGTTCCCTGAACTCCTGCCGAGCTTTCTGCTGGACTTCATTGATTTCTCTTTCTGGTGAAGATGCTCCAGGACCTTGCTCACTTCTCCGGGCATGGCTCCCTCTTGACTGGCTTTGGGGGAAAAGTGAGGGAAATTTCTGTGCTCTCTCCAGATCTTGATGGCCAAAGAGCCTTCATGCACTGCAACGCCTCCCTAGCGTGCTCCTTGTTTTCTCAAACAGTTTTGCGAGCAGTGAAACAATGCAGGATTTAGGATTGATGGCTTGATTTGTTTCACTCTGTGGCATCCAGACTGGCCACTCGGACCCATGGGATCGCCACCAGCACTGAAAGGGGAGAATTACAAAAATAAATCCAAGCTGTCTTGTCTGGTAGAAGTATTGGGCAGTCAAACATCTGTGTTAGAATGGATTAAGATTCTGGCCTTTACATTTTTACAAGGGGATCATCCAGATTTTCATTGCAGCCTAAGAGTATGGCTTAGCAGAAATCCTAGAAAGTCAGGAATCGTGATCTGGTTGTGAAAAGCTCCAAAATCTGGCTTTCCTTATGTGAAATAATGTCTTCTGTACTTGACTTAATAATTCTGGTTTTAGAAGTTTTTCCCATTTAAGATTTCTGCTTGTTATTTCTTCCCCTCTGTCCTGACTATATTCTTTTCAACCTGGTTTCCTAATGTGGTGAAGCTGAAACAATAATGCCATCTTGACTAATAGACCCCCTCATTGTCCCGGAGTAATTTTTCACCCCCAGGGATCAATTTCAACCAATATAAATAGAAGAGTAGAGATTTCAAAGTGATAAAATTCTTACAAACCTCAAGACTGCTGATGACCAGGGAGATGAGAGTGACGAGGTTGATGTCCCCACTGAGGGAAGAGCTGTAGCAAACATTCAGCTTATCAGACATGAGAAAATTTGTGTGGGTGCTCCATAGGATGCTGAGCTTCATAGCTGCTGCTACTCACAGGGCTGGTGGTTGTATTTTTCAATTTCTCTGCTCCTTGGGAGTGCACAGTCTTGGAAGTTTTGATCACGCCTTTTCTCCTCCATAGTCCCCTCAAAATAAGCTCTATTTGTCCAAGATGTTTCTGGTAATGAGATAGATATAAGTGCTGTTGGTCCTCAACTTCATAAACCGACCTGTTGCTTTCCCAGCCCATCATTTAATACTTCTAGATGCAGGCTTGATAGCCAACAGTGCCGTAATTTTCTTTTGTTACCTTGGCTCACTGCAAACACTCGATTACTGTGGTCACAATAAAACCTACTTTCTTCCACAATCAGTTTCTCTGAATTGCTTACAAGTTTTTGATTAGACTTTAATTGGCTTCTTACTGCCACTGCTGTTTCTTCTGGTTATGGCTGCATCCGAACGTCCTCTTCTGCTTTCTCTGCATAGCGGGATGCTGTAGCACTCTCCCCGTGTCATGACAGGAGGAGGATAAAGGAGGAGAAATGTGAAAAGGAGGTTATCTAGCAAGACCTTTATAAGTACATGATGCTTTTACTGACTTTTAAGTGGTGGTTATTGTTCTGATTATTTGTTCTGTTACATAACTAAAGTTAAGAGCTGTGTTTATGGGTAATTGCCCACTTTCTCCTTCCTTGTCTTTCCAACATTAATACCATCACAATACTTCCTTTCTTCTCTCTTTCATTACCTCCCTAAAAAAATGGCTTTGGGTGGTTTTTTTTGTTTTGCTTTGTTTTTTAGAAAGCTTTAATAGTATAGTAAGTTGATTTGCTAATTTTTTTCCTATTGCAGAAATCGTATCAACTGGACTTGCTGCCTGGGCCTGAAGGTACATATATAAATGAAACCAGTTTAGTAAAGTGCTTAGTGAATAATGTTAATTTCTTTTTAAATATTCATCTGCATTCAAGTTGCACTAAGCTCTCCTTTACATCTTTTAGAAATCATTTATATATTATTAAAGCCTGCATTCCTCGCTAAAGAGAGAGTGCCGTGCTTGTATAGCGATTACATTTGACTTTATTCTCCCAGTTTATATTAGCAAGAGGAGGAATGAGGCGCACAAGAACGTCTTTTTTTCTGGGAACAAGCACATATGCTCATGTAACATCTTGCCCTGCCTCATCTTCTTGCACTTTGATGGAGCCAAATATCCTTCCTTCCCTGCCGCAAGGACCTGGCCCCTCCTGGAAGCCCCACAGGGCTCTCCCCGTGCCCCGGGGAGCTGCCACCAGGCACGCCGGGCTGGGTGCCTCCCAGATGGTTTAAGAGGCAACTCCCACAGCAGTTTCTCACCCCTCGCCCCTCACCAGCAGTTGTGTCGCTCCCAGAAATGTGGGATGTAGCAGCATGCGTAGGTGCTGCCCAGTCTGTTTCGGTTAAGATGCATCC